ACAACAGCTACCATAACGCGAATCAGAGTAACTGTTGACTGTGGCAAGATGGCGGCCGGTCAGCTACGCTGGAAAATCTCCCATGAGCCAGCTAGTGTTTATATATATGTATGGGGCTGCCTGCCCGACCTTACGTTACGGCTGCGCCGCGGCAAAAATAGGATTCATCCTAATTTTAGAGAAAGCGCTGCGCCGAGCCGCTTCTGGGACGCGTCTGAGCCATAACGCGGTGCGTGTGGTGGAATAGACTAGAGTGGCCGCGATCCTTACGACCCCCGTGGCGCAGCCGTAACGCAACGCAGCCGTAACGCAGCGCAGCCGTAACGCAGCGCAGCCGTAAAGCGGCGCAGACGGACCCGGTGGAAACTGGGGGTGACCCTGATAAAAGCTCTCTCTGAGAACACTGAATTATTTCTTCTATCTACATTCAGTCCTTTTTTTAAATAATGTTTTCTGTTTCTCTCTTCTCTCTGTCTTTACTCTTCGTTCTTCCCTTCCATAGGCCTGGTGATGATAGGAGTGATCATTGGCTCCAGGAAGGTAGGGATCAACCCGGACAACGTGGCCACCCCCATTGCTGCCAGTCTGGGGGATTTAATCACTCTGTCCCTGCTGGCCACCGTCAGCACCATACTGTATGAATATATAGGTGAGGAATAATCTCAGCTCTGATTCATGACAATGTTCCCTCACATCCGGACCTTTTCTTTCGATCATTTCTTTTTCTGGAACGAATGAGAATGCAGTGATTTAGGGCTGCAGATCTCAATTGATTCAATGTCAACTATCAAAAGTAATCAAGAAATGTATTGAAAGTAAACTTAAGACCAAATCTTTAGTTCACAGATTTCTAATGTGATCGTGCTCCTCTATGAGAGTAAAATGTATATATTTGTGGTGTGGAAAAAAATTAATATTTATTTATTTTGTGAAAGACCAATCAATATTTTTCAGAATTTTCATTATAGATTCATACATTATCAATTAACCCATCAAATAACGGACATGAGATGATAATAATGTATATTATTTTAATTATATAGTTTGAATTATTGTAATTGTTGTATTAATAATATGAACTTGCAAAGTAACTATTAAGTAATGTTGTGAAATAAGTGTAGGGAGTAAACATTAAAATATCTTCTTCCAAATTGTAGTGCATGACACACATCTTTTTTATTTGTCATACTATATACCACCATATGGCATTTTAAACCAATGTCAATAACCAAACTGCAGCTGTCAATATTGAATTTTGTCAACTTAATTATATCATAATCACATTATCCCAAAAAATCCCAAACTGGGATCAATAAAGTACTATCTTATCTTATCATATACAGTATCCTGTCATGTATGTCTATTACTGTTTTCTCTTTTTTTCTTCATATTATTTTCTCTGAGTCAGATGTACTAGCGTGTCTCTTCCTGTTCCCCAGACGTGTGGTACCTGTCCCCCCTGGTGTGTGTGCTCTTCCTGGCTCTGATCCCCCTGTGGGTGGTGTTGGCGCGGCGCAGCCCCCAGATCAGCGAGGTGCTCCGCTCAGGGTGGCAGCCTGTTTTAGTCGCCATGTCCATTAGCAGGTACACACTTTTCATTCTTCAACGGAGAATAATATGAAAAACATCTAAATCTAACCTTTTTTTTATACAATTTAATCTCAATTAAAGGTGGGGTAGGTAAGTTTGAGAAACCGGCTCGAGATACACTTTTTGTCTACAGAGATATGGAAAATGCACCCAAATGACCCCAGAAGTGGGTCTTTTTTTTCTAAACCTCTAAAAAAGGTCAAATGTTACTTGTTTTGCATCAATCTTGATACAGGGTACTCATTATATGTTATAGTTTGGATTCCTAAAGCTTTTAGTCTTGATCCCATCATTCAGGACCATCTTCATGGACTTTGACTCAATATTGTTGCAGGAGACGGAACTGAAGCAGACATTTTCTGTACCAGATAGTTCAGGGAGATTCAGATTTTGAGGGTCAAGAAGAAGGAGGGGAAAGATGCAGGAGGCTCCATGAGCGCACAGATACAGACAGAGAGACAGATAGGGACGAGCTGGAAAGACATGGCCCCCTGTGGGCCAAGAGTAGCACGTATGTCTTATTGTTGTTTTTATTTTAAGTGGAACCATGAAAAATGAGAATTGCCTGGAATGCAAGCTTTGTTTCTATGAGCATGGTCAAATGGAGACCACATCCATAAAACTAGTCAAGATGACCCTACAGCCCATGCCGACTAGAGTCAATGAGGTACTTTCCTTACTACATTGACTACAAAGTCTTTGAAGATCTGGAAAGATTCACCAAAAACCAAACTAGTTTTTTAGTGACCAAATAAACAGCAATGTTCAGATCAATTACTTATTTATGTTTTAAATAAAGGTGAATGTATTATTATATTAATATCACTCTATAACCATAATACGTTACATTGTCTATCTGTTCATTTTGGCTGTCTTTTCAAACTAATATGGTCCCGACGTCCTCTACAGTGGACATACTGTAACATTTAAAAATAAAATAAAATAAAAAAACTCAAAGTGCTTTACAAAAAATAGACATTAAGAAAATGGCACTTAAAATCAGTCATTAAAAAGCAAAGATAATAAAATAAACATTAAAAGAAAAAATACATGGATAAAAGTTACAGTGCAGTTTAAGATATGAATAGTTTAATTAAAAGCAGCGACAAAAGGAAAAGTCTTCAGCCTGGATTTAAAAGTAGTCTGAGTTGCAGCGGAACTGCAGGTTTCTCTGAGTTTTTGTTGCAGATATTTGGAGCATAATAACTGAACGCTGCTTTACCATGTTTAGTTCTGACTGGGGACAGACAGCTGACCAGTCCCCGAAGACCTGAGAGCAAGTTCGAGTCCCACAGCAGTCAGCATGTCGATGTGTCCGTGAGACACTTCACCCCATTGCTACTGTGGGGATTGTCCAGTATTGAGTATGTAAATCGCTTTGGATAAAAGTGTCTAACAAATGCCATATTTGATGTAATGTGATGTAATGTAACATTAAAGGACATCATACATCATATTTACAGGACACACCTCTCGACATTTACAAGTACCAACAGTATCAAAGAGCATTTCACCATAGCATCTATCCGAGCTTTAAAAACATGCAGTGGAACCAAATTGCTCAGTTTCAATTATTTTTGAAGACTGTTCCAAGCGAGAGGAGCTGCGCACATAAAAGCTTTCGTACCGTCAATAGCACTTGGCTTTTTGCTTGGAAGTGATCTTGAGGAGCTGTCTCTTTAGCCGTTGTTCAATAAAAGCTCACGTTAAAAATAATACGAAGTATCGAAAGATAGTCAAAGGAGCATTTAAACGAGTAATAGGCCAAATCCATCAAGAGAAATTGCTCAGAAAAAACCCACTTCCTGAAGATTAAATATGAGCCGTTTGTTCACTGCAATTAAATAATGATAAATGTATTCTATTTGGCTTAAATATGGTTTAATTGTAAAATAAAATGGCAGGGGAAAGGATATGAATGTTGCTTTAGAGTCAATTAACCAATTTCTAACAATGAAAATGATTTAATTGTTAGGCCCACGTTTCTAACCTGACGTTACAGACTGTGATTTGATCAGTAGGTTGTATTATCTTTGCGATGACATTATGAAAAAAGCAACCAGCCCCTTCGCCTTCATGGTTTTTCACGAGACAGAAATTAATTGTATTAATGGCATCGTTTTTAATTTGTTTGAGTCATTATTTTGTATTTAATTTGAAAATGTTAACCCTTATCTAATAAAATCAAAAGCATGCATTTTATTTTTGCACGTCAGGATGATTTGGTTTGTTTGAGCGACTTCTTTCTGCTTCTGCTGCTGGTGGTGGTTTGGAGGCACTAGGACCCAGAGCAGACGCACATTAAGGACAACCAGCACATAAGAGGCTTACTGCATCTAATCTAAACTCCCCCACACACACACACACACACACACACACACACACACACACACACACACACACACACACACACACACACACACACACACACACACACACACACACACACACACACAGCACTTCACAAACATCCCATTTTAAGCACGCATACACGTCCCAGAGGCAAACACAACCATTGTATTTTCATTTAGTTTTCATTTTCTCTAAACTCTTGTTGTATTCCCCTCGTTGACCTTTACATCCATCCCACTTTGTTGGAGAACATTTGCCCATATGCTCCGTTCCTCCTTAGCAAACGTGTGTTACGTGTCTTTCACAATAAAACTCAGAGCAATCATTATAGTGAAAAAGGAAAAACTCAATCACTGCTCTCAGTGCAATCTGAGTTTCTCATCAGAGTGCTTTACTTTCATATCAGCTGTAAAACCAAAGCCAACAGATCAAAAACTGAAAGGTTTTTTTTATTAAAATTGGAACAAAGTCAGACTTTTGATGAAGTTCTTATGGGTCCTTTTTATTAACGGAAAATAAAGACCTTGTTTCTTTTATATTCCTAATACGTCATTTTGCCAACATCCTCCCAGGCAATCCAACCTCTATGATGTGAATTTGTTTGTGTGTATGATGCAGGCACACCCTGATGATGAAAACATGAAAAGCTGCGAATCATTTGTCTCCATTATTAAATGATTAATGCCGTCTCAAAACACCCAAAACGTACACACACACACAGACACAAACACAAACACACACACAAACACTTTTCCAGCTGTTAAGTACCTCTGACATCATGTTGTTCGATACACACACACACACACTGTATTTTTGTCTGTGTGCACATGTGCTTATAGTGTATATGTGATTTAGTGTGTGTGTGTGACAGTTACACACTCTCACACACACACGCACAGAGTTCAGCCGATTTATCATAATATGCTTTATCTGAAAAGTAAGTATCTTACCTCGGGATAAAGGGAGGAAAGAGGGGTTTGTGGCCAGATTGACAGAGGAAGGGTGGAGAGAACGCTCGCTGCACAGAGACGGAGAGACACACTTTCACTCCGTCCGGCATCCATCGATCACTATTGATAAGGTATTGTGGGAAGGAGAGGGCCGCAGTGTGTGTGTGTGTGTGTGGGTGGGTGGGTGTGGTGTGTGTGTGTAGAGGCTCAGTGAGTGAGAGCAGGAGGAAGGCATGTGGTGCTTACTGCAAGGGACTGGTGGAGGTTTAACATGTTAACTGGAGGAGAACTGGGGGAAAAGTTGCAAAAGGTTGGAAGTATAATGATGAGATAAAACGGGAAATAAGACGAAGAGGGGAGAGGGGGGAGAGAGAGGGAGGCAGATGGGGAGGGGGGTATGGGAGGGGCATGGTGACAAACATAGCCTGAGTTTGCTGTGCGTCTGTCTCTGAATTTAGTGTTACATTAGCTATTTCAGTTTTAAATGAAGTATTTATGTTCATATAGCTACGCAGATTTTATGCGTTTACAGTGTGTGTGTGTGTGTGTGTGTGTGTGTGTGTGTGTGTGTGTGTGTGTGTGTGTGTGTGTGTGTGTGTGTGTGTGTGTGTGTGTGTGTGTGTGTCTGTCTGTCTGTCTGTCTGTCTGTCTGTCTGTCTGTCTGTCTGTCNTTCTCCGTCTCTTCCTCCCCCTCACTTTAAGAGTTTTCTTGGCATTTTTGGTAAATATGAATAAATATCAAAAACCAATACATTGATTGTTGATTGCTTGATGAAATGTTTGCAAAAGGAAACTCACAATGCACAAAGTGTTTTTTTCTGTCCAGTGTTGAAGGGGCTAGTTCAGGAAAAGGTCAAAAATGTTTCCCATTAATGTAAGGGAGGCTGTGGCTCAGTGGATTAGTGCACTGATCTTTGAATCAGAGGATAGCAAGTTCAAACCCCACTGCAGTCAGCATGTCGTTGTGTCCCTGAGACACTTCACCCCAAATTGCTCCTGTGGGGATTGTCCACGTTGGATAAAAGCGTCTAACAAGTGTAATGTAATGTTCCAATATTTTGGAAGGCACCAGCCCATTAGAAATAGAAAGGGAGATTAGTATTTGCATATAATAAAAATAAATCATATCAAGATTGTCCGGAGAAAACCACCAAATGTCAGCTTCGGGAAACTACCAATAATTCCTTTTTTTATTTCTATGATTAAACACATTATAAAAATGTATTAATTTGGCATCTTTAATTAAACCAGTGACGAAACTCATAAATTGCAATATAAATATCTGAAATATACACTGAACAAAAATATAAATGCAACACTTTTGTTTTTGCTCCCATTTTTCATGAGATGAACTCAAAGATTTAAAAAAAATTCTACATACACAAAATAACCATTTCTCTCAAATATTGTTCACAAATCTGAAAAAATCTGTGATAGTGAGCACTTCTCCTTTGCCGAGATAATCCATCCCACCTCACAGGTGTGGCATATCAAGATGCTGATTAGACAGCATGATTATTGCACAGGTGTGCCTTAGGCTGGCCACAATAAAAGGCCACTCTGAAACGTGCAGTTTTGCTTTATTGGGGGGGTCTGGGGGGGTCCGAAAACCAGTTTATATTTTTGTTCAGTGTAATATATTTCAGGGTTCGCTTGAATCAAACTTTGTACATAGTGTTGTCCAAACATTTATGATGGTGTCTCTTCTACCAAAAGGCAACATTTAAAAAGCCTGCCATCACAAAAGAGAGACGTTATGAACATTAAACATTTGATTTCAACCGCAACAACAACAACAACAACTGCCTTTCCTGGCACTCATTCACAGTGCTGCACAAAAAGTGACAAAAGTCAACTCGGTTTTAAATTACAACCCTATCTTATGGTTTTGAGGGAAACAAATGTGTTTGTCATGTAACTTCAGTGATGTATGTATGTAAGTTAAGTATGTTATGTATATGATGTAAGTTAAGTACATTACGTGATTTAAATAAATAAACATGGGACAAGTCTATTTACCCCGACATCCAACCTAAGCTGATCTACTCAGACTTTAACTCTAAACAAACAAATGAAAATAAAAAAACTCCAGTTTAAAGGATGTTTCCCTCAAACCGTAAATGACAAAGCCGTCTGCACTTCGACAAAACTGATCAATATCTGCAGGTATTTTAATGAATATTAAGTGGATCCCACGATTTAATAAATTGAGACTAAAGCACTCTGTTGTGCACCAGTCAATCCTTAAATCAAATACAGAGTTAAATCCCAGATCCAATGTATGTTAGGGATGTTTCTCTTCAGTGATTGTGATCAAAGTCAAAGTCAACTTTATTGTCAATCTTCCAGTTTGTGTGTACAGACAGAGAGATCGAAATACCGTTTCCCACAATCCCGAATATAAAAACAAATGTATATAAAAAGATGTGTGCAAATATGTCTATATATATACACAGAATCACACATTTTGTTATGTTAAATGTCTGTTGTCCTTGTATCGTGTCATAATATCTGTCCTTGTTTCATGTTGCAAATAGAGCTGCTGTGATACAAGAAAAATGTTGCACTTGATCTGACAATGAAGTGTTATCGTATGGTATTATCTGAGTGTTGGTTATTGAAAAGTTACAAAAGTACAGGTGGGGTATTTAGCGCTTTTGTAGTGGGGGTTGTAGGCATGGTGGTAGGGTGGTGGGGTGAGTGGGTTCAGACTAGATGAGCTCAGTACTGAGATTAATGTAGTGTACGAGTGCAAAAAGAGACATGGTGAGTGGGGGAGCGGCAGGACCCGGGGAGGGGGGGGATCGGGTCGGGCACTGCTCCCAGGGATTAGCCGTGTTTAGCCATTAGCACAACCTGGAAGACAACTAGCAGCACAGCAGGGTTCAGTAAAGCCACCCCGACTGTTTAACAAGAACTGACACTGACAGCACATAATGTCTGATTGGTTACATCTAGTATATTCTACAGCG